CAAACACCTCCCAAAATAAATTCTAAAAAAACTTTTCCGAGGTTTTCGGGAGGGCCCATTAAATGAACATTTTTCAACGATTCGAAAAGGGATTATATGCATTTTGTTTAATTTCAAGTGTTCTTTAATGGTGACAAAGTGATTTACAAAAATATTGAGTTTGTATACATTAAGTTTGTATACGTTGGTTGGTCAAAATGAAGCATCGTCATCTTCATCGACCACTTCAGGTGTAGAGCTTTGTACCGTTTGCTCGAAAAAAATGCCACAAAGACAGGCACGAGACAACACCATACATTGCAACGAGTGCGATGCACTAGAACACTTGAAATGCCACAACAAATCGGTCAGTTATTTCACATGCAAAAATTGTGAGTCTAAATATACCCATGAAGCGAAAGAATTAAGTGATGATATCGAATAATTTTTGTTTGTTCTCATATGAATGGACAATTGACTCAATAAATATTCTATAAACTTTCGTAACTTGATGTTTTTTGTTCATTTTCCTAGTTTTCCAGTAATCTCCATTGCGTTTTACCTAGTGTCCCAATGGTGGCCAAAAATGTTGTTTGAAACGGAATCGTATAAGTTACTTTGGCAAAAATGTAGCAATTAAAATGGTATATACAACTTCTCGATATATTCTAAGGGTTCATTTTTTTCTTCGAAAAACAAAACATGTCCCACTGCTAGCACAATTCCCCTTCCAAAATTTTAACAACAACAAACTACGTGTTTGATAGTCTCATCGCATAAGATCGATAAAATACCGAATCTTATGTCCCCTCCCACCAGGCCAGAAGCTAGACTATCGTCGGGAGAGGTGCTTGCGGTTAGTCACAAATGAAATTAAAAGAAATCTACAAAAAGGTTAGTATAAATGGCAAACTATGCAAAAGGTCATGCAAAAATGGCCATTATTTCATACGGTCGCTGTGGGATCTAGAATTGACATAACCAGGACAAATGCATATTCGTTCGAAAGGTCTTAAAGTAAGCTCTCGAGTGGTGTCAATTGCTACTTAAAAATTTCATGTGGGGGTGGCCAAATTGGCAAAAAACCAAAAATTGACCGTTTACCGCACAAATAACGGGCGTTTTTTCGAAAATGAATGCATATGTTCTCTTGAAAATTTCATCAATTTAAGCCCCAAGTCAAAGATAAAAAAAAGCATACCACACACCACAGAAAAAACCACTTTTCCCCATTATGAACCACCTAAAAATAACCTAAAAATCTATATTTTCATTGTATTTGAAAAAGATTCAAATCTATGTGTCTTGAATATTTAACTTGGAAAATAGCGCTATCAAAACTATTGATATCAAATAAAAAACCTCTATCGAGGTGAGGAACGAGTGACGAAACCAAAATGTGAAACACAAAATTTCTGATTGACGAAAATAGTTGGTAGATATATTTTCTGTGTGCTGTGAATATAAACTTTATATATATTTGAATATTCGGAACGTTACTAAATTGCGTCAGTATGAACTCAAAGTAAAAAAGGGGACATTTCTGGAACGTTTTGAATATACAAATGTATATTATGTTTATTATCCGCACACTTCATTTGGGCCATTGACCATCCCCCCATCACCCCCAAGGGGGTCCCCCTACAAAATTCACGAAAATTTCTAAAAATACCTCGAAATTGGATACATATTCGGATCCCTCGTAAAAAATTACTTATAGGCTCCATACATTATCAATCTCTCTTGACCTACAATTTACTCCTTCTAGCTTGTACCTTCAATTCGGGTCGAAAAGTGAAAATACCCCATTTCATTGTCATTTCACAATGGGATATTCACCCCTTATGACTCAAATGGGCATACGTGTTTTTTCCCATGAAAGTTGCACTTACCAATGTAGGGTCCATTTGCATAGAGTTTTGGCCACCCTGAGTGACCCAATTTGGAGGGCAAAGGTTCATTTTTATATTATTCTGACCCCCGCCCTCCGAATCTTCTGATCAAACGATTTAAAACGTCACGGTAGTACTTGCCCGGTACTGTTTGACCGGCTGGAACAAATTCTTTATGAATTATACCCTTTGAATCGTAAAAACAAATGAGCATTGTCTTCACTTTTGACTTCTCCAAGCGACTTTTTGTGGGATGGCCTTCTTCTGGTCGCCTCCATTCGGAACTTTGATGCTTTTTTTCAGGCTCATATTCAAAACACCACGTCTCGTCACCAGTAACGATCGTTTTCAAGAAGTTTGAACGTTTCATACGAGCACTCTCAATGATGTCTTTGCAATGTTCAATTCGATCCAGTTTTTGATCATCGGTCAGAATGCGATATACGTACAGTGGTTTGAGGAATCGCCAATTCCATTTCAATAAATTTCACTGAACATTTCTTATTACTCTTGATGAATTCGCGCACTTTTTGGGCGACCTGATTTTTCGTCATCATTTAGCGACTCTCTACCCGATTTAAATCGTGTGAACCATGGCCTGGAAATGCCCATGTAATTTACATATAAACGAGTGAGACTCAAACATGTTCTTCTTTTTCCATCAAATATACCAGTGGCGCCACCAATTTTACATATAAGCGCATACAAAATTTTCAATATAGTTGCGCCCATGAGAGAGAAAATTTCGTCTCATTCATTTCCGCCCCATGGTGTGAACCACTCGAAAACTCGCATGCGGGATAGACAATCACGACCATATGCTTGTTGGAGCATTTGTTTGAAATCCATTTTTTCACCGAGAGCAAAAGATACTACAAAATAAGACGCAATATCTTGACATGCTTGCATCCGATCTTCGCGAAACTTTCACACAATGTAAATGAGAACTCCCTCTTTTTAACGCATATTATATCTAGTAGGTGGCACCACTGATATCTATTATTTTTAAAAAGTTCCGGAACTTTTGGAATGGAGGGTGTATGTTTTACCAATACGATTCAAAATAATCTCATTGTGAAGTAATCAGTTTCTTTGAGAAAATAATTCCAGGAAAATGTGTATTTAAAACATTGGAGGAATCAGATTTTTGGTTGAAAATTAACGAAAATAAATGGTTGAAGTCAAAAACGTCAGTGAATTTGGTTTGTGGATATAAAGATACAAAGTTTGATTTGGATAAAAGTGGTATATTAACGATAAATGGTTGTTCTTTTTCTACAACGGTAGTAGCAATTCAGGCGTTTCATAACCATCGGTCTACAGAAAGTATTACTATGTGCAATATTACAAAAGTGATTGCAGTTTTCAACAACAAAACAAAAATGAGAAATGTGTTTAGATCATCAATAGATACATCAAAAATTGCAATGAAAATAGAAGAAAAAGAGAAGAAGTTAAACAGCATGTGAAACTATTCGATCCATGATGTTATTATCTATGTTTTTTTGTTGGGTGTTTTGTTTCGGATTGTGTTTTGTTTTTGTTCACGGCAAAAATAAAGAATGTGATAAAGCAAAGGATCGAGTACTATCTGTCAAAATATTTCCCCCTTTGCCAAGCGAAATTAATTCGATATACGGCGCTGATGTAAATGTCACTCTATGTCATTTCACAATAATACATTTTTTGGCTTGACAATATATAAGCTCTTCATTTAAAATGCATACACATACATAATTATTGAATCGTTGAAAAAAAAAACATGTCGTAAAATATTTTTCTAACGTTTTTCATTAAAAATGTTATTAAAAAAAATTTGTTTGTAAAAAAATAAATTTGTTTATAAATTACAATAATTTCAAAAAAAATCTTTCATCGATTAAATAAGAATCCAATGTAAATAATGGGTGTATCGATTAATTTCCGGAATTTTTTTGGTGAAAAGATACATTTATTTAAAAAAAAAACCGTACAATATTTCCTTTTCTTTCTCGTTACTTACGTAACAGCTTTTTTAAATAAGTCACTTAAGACATTCATAAAGTTATTCTTTTAATTATTTATGATAATCCTAAGGTTAATTTAAACGAACTTTTTTTAAAACAATATTCATTGGACTACGTTAATAAGTCTGGTTTTATATTGACACACATTGAAGAATTCTAAGAAAATGAAACGTTTGTTTTAAACAACTTAACGTTACACGAATAATGAATGTATTCAAAATATTTACATTCAATATTTCAACGTGATAATATCAGACAACAGAAAGTTAGTTTAACTCTTTCAAGAACATTCATTGCAAAAAATATATAGAAGGAATCATGATGCAGCTTTTTTCTCGAATGCCAAGGAAATTTCATTAATTAATGGGAGAGGTGGGAACAAACGGATACACTTTTTTTCAATTGAGAATATTTTAGTCAAATGAAAAGATATTGGAAAACTTTGAATACCGTTTGAAAGAGAATTAAAACCCTAACTTTCTGCATCATTCGATTTTTTTATTGTTTATATTTTATTATTAAATGAAAGTAGGCTTTAATCAAAAAGAAACAAATCATATTCACCTCAATTCCGGCTTATGTGAAGAAATTTAAAAAAATGGGATTCTAAAGTGTGAAAAAATGGTAACGACGACTCTCGTTGGTCTGACATATTGAGTGTGTCTTTGCCAAGTGTATACCTATTGAATACGGATTTGAATACAACAGCAGTTTGAAATTTTGCGTTGCAGTTTTTTAAATTTTCGAGGTGTATTTTAATGTTTACCCCCATTGCCTCTATTGGACATGTGTAAACAGTGTTTTAAACTTATGTTATTCAAATTGAAAAATTTCAAGCTGTAAGCAGGCACCTATCGCGCTAGGTAAATAGTAGTGTCTGTTGAAATCATACAAAACACACAGCCTGAAATATTTGTAATAATACGTTATTCTCAAATACGGTTAGTTATGAACTAACTTTCTGATGTATGATTTGGAATTTCACCAACGTCAATTTTCATCCACGTACCAATATTTTTCCATTCAAATTTGAATATTTGGAATATTTGGAATAAAACGTTCTTTACACGTACTTTTAACCAGAGTGTAAAACAGTATAAATTGAGATACATCGACCTTGCTCTATCAAATAAAGTTCGAAAGATCAGTAAAACTACTTTGAACTAAAATGAAGTTATTCATTATATTCGCAATTGTTTCTTTGGCTCTGGTAAGGGAAACGACTTTCTCGATAATAACCTAAATATGGTTAAAATTTAACAAGATTTATAAATGTTTTGGACATTTTCATTGATTAATTTAATTTGAATCCGAAATTTGAAAATAAAAACATTCTTTTTACAGCGTACCTCAGAATCGTCTGGCAATAGTAAACGTGCAAGCTCCAGTAAGATCTCATTTTCTAACATAGTTAAATTGGCAATGTTCAAAGAAACATATTTTTTTTTTTTTTAATTTTTAGGTAAGACGTCAATATCGCTTTCACTAAGCTTTTTGCCAACGTCCACCTTGAGTGGAAAGATTAATGATATCACAGCGGATTTGAACATTGAAAATGTTCGACAAGCTGCGGACGAATATAAAGGCACTACATGGATGAAAAAGTGTGTATGATGGTTTAAATTGATTCATGATAATAAATTGAATTATCGCAATTATTACTTACAGATGCTGTGGTGAACAAATAAAAGACTATTCAAGTTTTTTCAAAAAAGTTGCTAAATCGCCACCGAAATATCCTCAAACCGGGTAATTGTATTTTTCCGCAAAAAATATTACTTTTTAATAATCTATTGATTAAATTTCTTAACAGTGTTTCATTCTTAAACCCCATTTTTGGAAAAGTAAATGACATTATTTCAAATTTCAACATCCAATATCCTGATGACATCTACGTTCTTCTTCCTGAGTAAATTAATGACTTTTCCAGTATAATAAATTCAATAT